TTATGGGTAACAGTGAAAAAAATTGGAAATATGACATAACAGAAAAAGCCACAGACTAGGAGTCAAGAGACCTGGATTCTGACATATTCAATCACTATCAAAGTTCCTTAGAGTCTTTGAGCAGTGTCTGTAGAGCAGAAGTGAGGGAACAACATAGCCTGCAGGTGATGAAATAAACACCACAAAAAGGATCCATGAGTCAACCCATGAAATAAGAAACTTCCAAAACACAGTGTGATAGTTAGGCCCAGTTGAAAAACTTGCCTTTAAAAGGAAATACACTATTTTCCTCAGATTCCTAGAGAAGTAAATGAGGCAGAGAGCTACATGAAAAAGAAAAAGAAATATTGCTATCAAATCAGAATTTTATATGTAGAGTAAATAAGATGCTCAGAGTCACAACTGGAAACATCTTGTTTGCTGTGATATATGTAGAATATATTTGTAGAATATCAGTATATTTTCTATGTATCAAAAGATCATAGTAACCAGAACATCCAGAGTCATTAAGAAAGTTCATGCTTCACTTTTCTATTCCTCTGCATCAAAAGGACTTTCCCTATTAGTAGCTTTGCTACATCTGTACCCAGATTGATTTGAAAAATAACCATTCAAACCCATTTTGGATTTTTTAAATGGCTGAAATTTTAAGATATTCTTATTGATAATTTTTGAGGCTTAGGAAATATGTCAAACATGAGTTTCATTTTTTGTTTGTTGATTGGTTGACTTTTTAATTGCTAGTGTCCCTAGTAAATAGGTGGCATCACAGAGTCTAAGCAAATAGCTCACTGTCACACAGCCTGCAGGTGGTAGCACCCAGATATTCAGCCCAGAAATTCAGACCTGCTAATTTTCCACCAAGGCACAATTACAGTTGCAACTGTTTACATAAACTAAACATTCATTTCATTAAGCATATATTTGATGAAAGCCTATGTTAGATACTAGTGTCAGTGAACAAGAACCAGATTTCCAGGGGTGTGCTAGCAACTGCTGACAACTGGCTGGGGAAAGGAGAGAATAGGAAGGAGATTAATTTGGACTTGCTCATTCCCATAGTGTAAAGATCCTATCGTGACAGTATTCAAGCTACGAACCTTACATCATTGGGAAGAAATGTTCACATGCATCTGTTGTAAGCCTGTGTGTGCTAACTCCAGCAAAAGAGTGAAAAATGTCCCTGTCCAGTACAAAATGCATCCTGGTGGAGAGAGAGAAGCAACATGCCACACCAGCCACATACAAAATGTGTCAGATACTGATCAGTGCTGTAAAGAGATGAAAAAGAAGATTCCAAATAGTTTTGAGTCTTTCAGAAGAAAAGACACCTTTTAAGAACAGTGTTGAGCAAAGCCCTAAAGGTGGTGCAGGGGGCCAAGTGGACAAAAGGGGAAGAGCATTTTAGGAGAGCAACTTTTAGGGGGCTAGATAAAAAGCTTTGGAATTTATTATTATGACTTGTGGCTATACTAAGTGAGAAGGGAAAATGTTAAAAGGTTTTTCTTCTTTTGCTTTCTAGTTAAGGAGCGATATGATTTTTTAGCAAAAGCCATTCTTGCCAATGTTTTGAAAATGAATGCTAGGGGTGGGCAAAGGTGGAAGTTTTTACAATAATACAGAAAAGAAATAAGGGCAGCTTGGATTTGGGTGGTAGCAGAGAGAATAATGACAAGTGGCAAGATTCCAGACAGATGTTTGAATGCAGTCAACAGAATTTGCTGACAGGTTGAATGTAAGGGGTGGCCCCAAAGATGATTCAAAGGATTTTATTCTAACTGGGAAGATGAAGTAAGCATTTACTGATTTGGAGCAGATGATGGGGAGAGCAATTTGACAAGAAAGATGATCAGGAATTGACTTTGTTTTGTTTTGAGACAGTCTCTCTATGTAGCCCAGTCTGGTCTCAAACTCAAGTCTCCTGCCTCAGCACCCTGAGTACTGGGATTATAGGCATAGACAACCACATCTAGCTAGGCATTGGCTGTGAATCTGTATAGTTGATACTTCTGTTTGACATCTAATTGGAGATGTAGAACCAAGCAGTTGGATTTCAGGGAGTCTGATTTCAGACTCTATGAATATTAAAGATATTGCCGACATTTAAAACACTGGAACTCAATGAAACACCAGAAAAGTGAATGTATACTTTTCTGTTTAATTTTCTACTCAACAAACACCTGTTCCCACACTGTTATGTCTTTGAAAAGTATAAATTCACTGAATTCTCATAGCAACCCTCAGAGGTGGGTATTATTAATTTCCCCTTTTACAGATGACAAAATGAAGCACAGAGAGGTTAACTAACTCACCCACTTGCATAAGCAAACAGATACTGAGTAGCAAATTTGGTATTTCTTTTTTTTTAATTTTATTGTTGGGCTGGGTGGGGGTACATTGTAGTATTTATAAAGTTCTTATAATATATCAAATATATCATACTTGAATTCACTCCTTTCACATTTTCCTGTATCTTCCCTCTCATTTCAACAGGTATCATTTTTCCATTTACATTCATGTATACACAGTATTTGCATCATAGTCACCTTCTTATATTCTTTCCCCACCTCCTCCTCCCTCCCACTGGCATGAATCCCCCAGGCAGGGTCTATTCCACCCTCCTGTTCTCCATAAATCTGGAATTTCTACACAAGGTTATCTAGTCCCAGATTCTTGTTAGAGAAGTTGTCTAAAGACCTGAATGATCAGGCACTGTTAAACTTAGAGGTAAAGTTGTTGAGGCAACTCAAAAAATCTTACTCTGATCGATACCACAATTTACTTTTACCTGTAAATTCTAACTCTGCTCAGGGAAAGTGGATAAAGTAGAAAACTGAGTGCAAAAGTAGTTTTTTCTCCCCCTTTGTACTTTTCTGTACTTTCTATATTATGTCCATATTAATTCTAGAATGAGGAAATGTTGTATTAAAATAATAGAAGTGTGGGAGTTACCTTTAAACCTTTCAAAGGATGCAGGCTATTCTTTGTTTACAACACAACTCAACAAGAAAGTACAACAGTCACTACAGAAAGGCTGAAGTGAAATGCTCTGTTTGGAGGGTGAATGCAGTTAGCATATAATTTGTTGTGTGAACTAGAATCATTCTTAAGAGAGTAAAAGGGTATATAGGACTACTATACTTGTATAGGTTCTCCAAGTAGCTTATTTCTTAAGAATAGAGTTTGTCTTCCCAAAAAAATCAATGACCCAATAAAGAAATGGGCAACTCAACTAATCAGAACTTTTTCAAAGGAAGAAATCCAAATGACTAAAAAACACATGAAAAAAAAATGCTCACCATCCCTGGCCATAAAGGAAATGCAAATCAAAACCACACTAAGGTTCCGCCTCACCCCTCTTAGAATAAATATCAGCAAGAACACAACCAACAACAAATGTCAAGAATGCAGGGGTGGGGGTGGGGGTTGGGGGGGTGGAAGGAACCCTCATACACTGCTGGTGGGAATGTAAGCTAGTACAAACCACTTTGAAAAACAATATGGAGGATATGGAGGCTCCTTTAAAAACTAAGGATTCAGCAATCCCACTCCTAGGGAAATACCCAATGAAATATGAGTCAGGTTACTACAAAAGCACCTACATAACCATGTTTATTGCAGCACAATTCACAATAGCCAAGCTATGGAAATAGTAAAGATGCCCCACTGCTGACAAAAGGATTAAGAAAATATGGTATTTATACAGAATAGAATTTTACTCAGCCAGAAAGAAGAATGAAATTTTGTCATTTGCAAGTAAATGGATGGAACTAGAGAACATTATCTTAAGTGAAGTTAGTCAGGCTCAGAAGGCCAAAAATAGCACGTTCTCCCTCATATGCAGATTATAGAGCTAAAAGAAATGCAGTAATATTATTGGACATGGGTCACACATAGGGGACACCATGCACTTGAATGTTGTTGATGTGCTTACTGTATAGGAATGAATGTAATAATCTTAAAAACTGACTGAGGCTACTATGGGGAAGGGGATTAGGGAGTAGTGAAGAGGACTGGTAGAGATGAACCAATTGGGATTGTATACATATATGCATGGAAACAACACAAGGAATCTCCCTTCATAGATATCTTTATCTCAAACTAGCAAAAACACCATGTCTCTCATTATCTTTTATGGTTTTTTTTGGTGAACAGCAGGGTGGAACAAGTTCTGAGAGTATGGGGGTTGGCACCAGTGTGGGGAGGGAGGTGGCAGGGAAGGGGGTAGGAGGATGAATATGGTACAAATAATGCATACACATATATGTAAATGCAAAAATTATACCTGTTGAAACTGCTCCAGAAATGGGGAAGGGGTGGATGAAAGAGAGCAGTGGAATGGATGAATTCAAGTACGATATATTTGATACATTGTAAGAACCTTTGTAAATGCCACAATGTATCCCCACCCAGCACAACAATATAAAACAAAAAGAACTGAGTTTGTATGAATACAATGGAGAAGACTTATCTGCTCCAAGCAAATTACCAACCTTTGCTTCTGCCTTCTTACTGTTACTTGTAGGTTAAATATTCCTTCATTGGTCTTTTTTTTTTTTTTTTTTACTCACTACTAGTTAGACCTAGATATCAGAAAGTAAGCTGAGCAGCCCTGTATGCTATTACAGCTGGGTATTAATGATACTTTGTTCGGGACTCCCCAGTCCTTAGGATGAGGAATTGTAATATGTTGTCAATGCCTTTGATTTTGAAATCCTTATTTCAAGGATTTGGAGAGAAATACTAAAAACTTTAAGTTTAAGTTAAGTTTGATTAGAAATCACTTTACAAAGTGATTAGCAAGAATCTTTTCATTCTTAATCTAACTTAAATGAACTAGAAAAGGAAAAAATACATATAAGCATCTTCTTACACTTCCTCAGCTACTTTTAATATTACATAAGCATTAACTTTAGCATGGACCACATACAAAACAGAATTACAAGATGGAAATACAAGGGAATATACTGTACCTTGTTCTACCTGTAAGGAACACACACCTGACAAAAGGCAATTTTCACATCCAAGGTTGGTTCACTGCAGTAGTATAAGAAATGGAGGCTCATAAATACCTACAGGAAAAAAATGAGTCATGAAATTCTAAATCATTATAAGATATTAATATATACACACCTAATAAGTAAAAGACAAGTACATCCTGTTATAAAACACTTTCAGTGCTAGGCATCTAATTTTTAAAAAAAACCTCAAACATATCCTGAAGAATATTGGGCGTTTATCGCAGAGTAAAGGTGTTTGTTGTGGTTTGGATCTGAAATGTCTCCCAAAGGCTCATGTGTTGAAGGCTTGCTCCCCGATTCAGCAGTGATCAGAGCTGATTGTATCATGAGGGCTCTGATATCATCAATGGACTTATCCATTGATGGATTCATAGCTGAATGGATTATTGAAAGTGGTAGAAACTTTAGGAGATGGGATCTACTTAGAGGAAGTAGGTCATTAGGGACATTGTCCCTCCTGTCTGTCATGGGGTGAGCTGCTTTGCTCCACCACACTCTCCCTATCCTGATGTTCATCTTCACCAACTTCAAAAGCAATGGAGCCAGTGACAAGGGACTGAAATCTCTGAAACCATGAGCCAAAATAAACCTTCCCTCCTTTAAGCTGTTTTTCTCAGGTATTTTGTCACTGTAACGTAAAGCTAACACAGTATGATTAAGTAAAATGCAATTTGTAATAGAATTATATAAAAGACTTGCAATAATCAGATTAGAATTTAGTGTTTAAGTATAGATGAATTTTTGAAACATGATGTTGAGTGGGAAAAAACAATCAACAAATTAAAGGGTATGAATACCACTATATTAGTATAAAATTTTAAGATATATAAAAATGATAATATATGCTGCTTTAAGTACACAGAGTAAAGAAAATCAGGCACTCTATTTATATCTGTTTGATCTTGGTGGGAAAGATATTAATTATACTATTTTCTGTATTTTACAAAGTCTTAAAAAGAAGAAAAAGTCATCTAATGGCTGATGGTAGTGCCAAAGTAGGTACTGGTTTATGTGGGAATTACACAGAAGCATCAGAGAAACCCACCTGAAATCTGAGTCAGTTTAATTAAATATGTTTACTAAACAATTACTACATACATGACACAATTCTATGAGATAAAAACATTGTAGAAATAGTATTAATTCAAGACTTTCATTTCTGGCAATGTGATTGTTCAGATATCCTACAAAACCACTCTCAAAGCAAAGCTCCTAACAATGTTAGATGAAATATGCAAAACATACTTAAAATGCATAGCTATGCCGCCCCAAAAAGACAAGAACATTTCCGAGAAGCTGAAAACAAAAGTGAAAGGGTTCATGCAGGGAAGTAAATGAGCTGAAGCTGCTCCTTGTCCCAGACCATCTGCCAGGTCTGATGACTAGAATTTTAGTACAAGAAACAAAGTTTCCATCCGCTTACCTTGGGAAGTCACATTGGTGATACCTCCCTAAAAGAGGAAGCTTTTAAACAAGGTTCAGAAGAAAGCAAAATAATCCCAGAAAAGGTCTGAATTGGAAGAAAACATGTTTTGCATTTGGAACTTGATGTACATATATTTTCAATTTAAGGAAGAATGAAATGACAAGATATAAAACAGTCTTGAAAAAGAACAAGATGGGTTTTCCATCTTTCATAATGGAAGAGAATTACTCTGTTAGAGACCAAGATTTATTATAAAGTTTTAGTAAGCAAAGAAATGGGATTGATACAGAGATAGACTATCACTCACTAGATGGAGAGCCCAGAAAAAGATATACATATACATGGAAAACAGAGAAAAGAATCAAAGCCTCAAGTCATGCTAAACAATTGGTCATTCCTGTGGAGGGAAAGTAGATCCCTAATGAGAGAAGATTCTCCATGGGCCTCTTGTGAACAGAAGCCCTTGCTACTTTTGCTCCACTCTCTCAGGAATGGATATATAACAGACATCCTTGAAAAATAAAAATAGTATCTCTCTTTGGAGCATAGAATGGGTTTGATTACTCTCTAGCAAAATAAAATGATTCCCTAGGTTATAAATCGGGCATGCATACTGTCTAAAATAAAAGATGTGAGTTCCCTAAGCTTGAGGGTTTTCCTTTACACTAGAACCCACTGTGTGTGTGGTGGTCTCCTGGCCTGTTTCGTGGCACTCTATGGGAACTGAGGCCCAAGGAATTGTATGAATTCTGACACCCTAGCTCCTGCTTTGGCTGTGAGCCATAAACACCCTCATGTTGGTACAAGCTTGGGTTTTCTACCCATGTCTGTGACACTAATTCCATTTACAAAAGTTTGAAAATATGTACAACTCAACAATACATCATTTCACTGGGCATTTTAATACATAACTATAGTATATTTATGTACTCATTTTTGTTCTCTTTAATTTCTCTCAGTAATGTTTTGCAGCTTACATATATGGACCCTTACACATTTTTCTTTAAGTTCACTCTCAAGAAATTTTATTTTTATGCTATTATGAATGGAATATTTAAAATTTCCACTTCCCAAGTGCTCATTGTTTTTTTTAAAAAAGCTTATTTTTAAAGTGATTTATATTCTATAAAATTTCCAAATTCTCTTATTATGTGTAGTAAATATTTGATGGATTGTTGAGGACTTTGTTTGCACATAGAAAGGACGTCCACAAATGAAGACAGTTTTTACTTTTCCCTTTCCATTCTGCTTTTCTCACCCAATTGCCTTGAGTAGACTCTCCAACAGTGATCATGGGTCGCTCATTTTCTCTGCTTTCTGACAGATGCATTTAGTCCAGTTACTTTTCGAGTAATTGTCACTTTTTCTGAGTTGAATTATCCATCTTACTGTTTGCTTTGCATCTTTCTCAGGTTTTTGTTCTACATTTCCTCTTTCCCAGCCTATCTTAGGAAGAACTGGTATCTTTATGCCTTTCATTTTATTTCATCTAATGGCTTACTAGTTATACTTTTCTCTCTTCTTTGTCAGTAGTTGTTTTAGAGTTTACAATCTGCATTTTCAATTTAAAATAATTTAGCCTCAACTGATATTATCACATTTCCCCAAAAGTTTTAAAACTTACAGTGATATGCTTTCATTTTCCACTCTAGTTCTTTGACCTGTTGCAGTCATTTATTTTACTTATACATATGTCATAACCCATAATGCATTACCATCATTTTATTTGCAATAGGCAATTGTAATTTAAATAAATTCAAAAATTAAAAATGAAGTTTTCATATTTACTCACATATCTTATGTACAGTCTTTGAACACCTTTTAAAAAGTTTATTCTTAAGCATTTATGGGGTTTCTGGGTGGAGTTTTTTTTTTTTTTTTTTTTTTGCAGTACTGGGGATTGAACCCAGGACCATGCATATGCTAGGCAGAATTCTGCCACTTGAGCCATTCCCCTAGCTCTTTTGTTTTTATTTTTTCTTCTTTTAAGTTGTTTGTATTTCTTTATATATATATATATATATATATGTTTGTTTGTTTATTAGCATATTTTAGTTGTAGTGGGAGCACACTGTGAGATTTACAAAAGTGCTCACATTTTAATTAGATTCACTCCATCCATCTTTCTTCTTTATCCCCCTCCTCCCTTCTTAGAACAGTATCAGCAGGTCTCACTGCTCCATTTTCATACATGAATACCTAATACTTCCACCATATTGTCCCTCCTTCACTTTTTCCCTATTCCCTTCTCCCTCTCATTGGTACCAACCCCTGGACAGGACTTGTTTGGCCTTCCTGTCCTTCAATTTTTAAAAGAAAGACTTTTTTGTTTGTTTGTGATATTCACACAGGGAGTTTCATTGTGACTTTTCCATATATACACGTATAATACCTCAAATTGGTTCATCCCCCTCCATTATTCTCTTTCTACCTTAGTCCCCTTCTTGTGGTGATTTTTAACAGGTTTGACTGTTCCAGATTCATACGTGTATAGAAAGCACATCAGCTATATTCACCTTCTTTACTTTCTTCATTTACCATCCCCCTCACATTAGTGCCCTTCCCTTACCATGACCTATTTTGCATTCTTGTCTTTCATTGTTTAGATGTCTGTTCCATATTCAGTGGTATTTTTGCCTTGAGATAGGTCTCACTAAATTTTACCCAGGCTGGTCTCGTGATCCTCCTACATCTGCCTCTCAAGCAGCTGGGATTCAGGCATTTGCCATCACACCTGGCTAGCACTTACGTTTTTGGTGCAACTATAAATGATAGTCTTGTTTTATTTCTATTTTCCAAATGCTCATTTTTAGCATTTAAAATATATCATTCCACTGTTTCCCCGTCATCTAGTGGGAAAAATTTTTCCTAGTCCCTTTTTGATTTTTCCCTGTTTTCTCACAGCACTTTGTCATACCTCAATTAAACAAATAGGACTTCAAGTTCAGAGCTTTTTTTAATTATAGGGGTTTGACTAAGGACCTTGTGTTTGCTATGCAAGTGCTCTCTCTCCTGAGCTGGGTCTCAGCCTTCACTTATGAATATTATATAATATTATAAGCTGTTCTCATGCCTGCTCCATCATACACTGTGACTTTTTCAAGGGAAATGACTTGTTTTATTTCTTTTCACAACCCTAGGACCTAGCACTAGTCTTCATATATGGCTGCTGTCACATAAACATTTATTGGATGACAAGAGATCTAAATTTAAAAAAAGAAAGCCTCTTTCCATCTTCAGCACAAATCTGAGTATTTTCATTACCTCTTCACATCAAGAACTGTGAATTTTCAATAAATTTGATGCTGAAAAAATTAGGAATGAGGAGTTTACAGTAGTGAAAGTATGAAACAGACCACTAACAGTTACATAAGAAATGCTACCCAACAAGGATATTTTCCCCTGTGCTACTGAAGTGAGCATGTGAGAAATAATAACATCCAGAGTACCACCTTGAAATAAACATCTTTTAATTTTTAAATGAATGAACAATCTTGATATGAAAACCAAGCATTCTGACTTCCCTCAGTTTGCATTACAATGACTACAAATGTAGTAGCATGGCTGAATAAGTCAGTGAAGAATCTGTTTTTTCCATAAGAAAAAGAATATTTAATAA